GCGAGTCATTGCCGGCCGGATGCGGTGCAGAAAATCAGTGGCTGCCAACGTGATGCCCGCTCCTCCAAGTGAATGGCCTGTGAAGATCACGTCATAGTCCGGATTGGCCTTCACCGCGTCCACCAAATCCTTCTGATAGCTCGTGAGTGTAACCATGACGTTGTAGTACCAGCAAAACCCGCGGTGGTACAAGCCAGGCAGCTTCTGGATGTAGGGAAGGGACAGGAGGTTATTCTTCATGATGCTCAACACCGGGCACTCCAGCCCATAAAGATTATTGGCGTTTGCATCTGCGAGGATGTCAGCCCAATAACCTGGGTTCCAGGGAAGCCCCGTGCCGGACACCGAGACCACAATCGTCTTCATGCCGTCATCCGTAGCGATGTAACCACGGTGGTTCCCGGTGAACATAAACTCGAGCTTATCTTCAACCTTCTTGAACCAGTCGCTGTCGGCAACTCCAAAGGTGCGCGCCAGGAATTTCAGGACCTGGAGGTTTTAGAGTAAGGTTTTAGGTCCAGGGTTCAGGGTATAGGGTTGAGGGTAGGTACTTCAAACAACCCTAAACCCTAAACCCTAAACCCTACCCGAATTTCTGAAAACCTCCACCTCCAGGGAAGGCCTGGTGGTGTCCACGAAGGGCTTTACTTTGCCCTCGCCCGGCGCGAACGCCTTGCATTCCTCGTTCACGAAGTCCTTGGGCCAGTTCTTGAGCTGGTAGGGTTCAGGGTGTAGGGTTTAGGGAGTAGGGTTTAGGGTTTAGGGTTTAGAGTTTAGGGTTTAGAGAGTTTAGGGTTTAGGGATTAGGGATTAGGGTTTAGAGTTTAGGGTTTAGAGCTTAGGGTTTCAAGTCCTTGGGCCAGTTCTTGAGCTGGTCGATGTTGCATGCTGACGCTGTCGCATAGAGCCACATCTTCCGCCCAAAGGCTGGAACATATGGAGGCTGGTGTTGCATGGGCTGCATGTCGATGGTATACCCAAGATTTACACCAGACACATGGATAGCCCGCTCGTAGAGGTCATACAGCATCTTGCCAGCCTTCAAGAGCCAGTCGATGAAGCCTGAGTCTTGAGCCCTGTCGCGATACTGTGCTGTCTGCAGAAGCTCCGCATCATCCATGCATGAATCATCACCTCCTTCTGCTGCTTGACCGCAGCAGGTGCACGCGGCGAAAGCAAACAGGAGTGAGCACGCAAGGCTGCAACGCATGGCGGTCGAAGCCGTGCGCTGGACTCTGGAGCTATCTGGATGACTGTAGGGCGTAGGTCACTGCCAGCAACGGCTCCAAGCACAAGCAAAGTGCAGTCCGAAGAACTCAGTTTAGGGTTTAGGGTTTAGGGTGCAGACATCTGCCAGCTGCATCTCACACTCGCAGCACCAACCCGTGTGCAGCATGGCTGTGCATTGGCCGGCATCCTAAACCCTAAACCCTAAACCCATGCTCCAACACGCTGGTCCGTTAGCAATGTCATCAGAATCAGAAAACCCTAAACCCTAAACCCCAAACCCCAAACCCTAAACCCTAAGCCCTGCGGCCTTAAAGCACGAGATCCTGCACGCATGTCTTAAGGGCTTATGATCGGCTTCAGTGTTTGGGCTTCAGGGTTTCGGGTTTAGGGTCTAGGGTTTAGGGTTTAAGGTTTAGGCTTCAGGGTTTAGGGTTTAGGGTTTATATAAATTGTTAAGGGTTTGGGTCCCAAAAACTTTTGAACGAAAGTTTTGAGTGAAAGTTTTGAACGAATTTTTTTTGCGAACCATGTTTTCAAATTTCCTGGGGGGCTGGGGCTCTTGGGTGCCAAAAACGTTTTGAGCGAAACGTTTTGAACGATTAGGGGGCTGAACCTGGGCTGGGGTTGCGACACTGGTTTTGGGCTGGGTTGGGCTTGAATTTGAGAAAATTGTAAAGGGTTTGTGTGCCAATAGTATGTTTTGAACGAAAGTTTTGAGCGAAAGTTTTGGGCAGGTTTCTTTTTTGGAATCACATTTTGAATTTAGGCTTGGGGCTGGGGCGTGGGGCTGGGTTGTCTGGGGCTGCGGCTGGGGCTGGTGGCGCAACCTGGGGCGAAAGTTTTGACCGAAACGTTTTTTGATTGAAACCACATTTCCCGAAAGCATCGCGAAGGGTTCTTCCGTGCGGAGCCCCGCAGATGAGTACATAGTTCATAGATGACAGACATAGAATCAACTTACTTGACTCTATACCTTACTTCACTCTACACTTGATACTTGACTCTACACTTGATACTTGACTCTATGTTATGCTTACGACTTACTTACTTACTTACTTCACTCTACTTACTTACTTACTTACTTACTTGGCCTCTATGACTGACTCTCTACACTTGACACTTGACTCTATGATACTTGACTCCACACTTGATACTTGACTCTATGTTATGCTAACTTACTTACTTACTTCACTCTACTTACTTACTTGACACTTGATTGACACTTGACACTTGACTCTATGTTATGCTATCTCTATACTTACTTACTTACTTACTTACTTGACCTCTATGACTGACTCTCTATGCCTCTATGACTTACTCTTTACATCTCGGTATCTAATTCTCTCTTCTAAAGCCAGGGGTGGCACCGTCGTCGTCCATCGGGAATGCAACCCTTCACAGGGATTCGCCTCCTCGGGCGTTCAAACGCGAGGTAAAGTTACACATTTTAGGCGCCCGGCGCAACCTTTCACAGGGATTCGCCTCCTCGGGCGCCCAAACGCTAGGTAAAGTGACACATTTTAGGCGCACCGCGCAACCCTTCACAGGGATTGGCACGGGCGAGCGCCCAAACGCTAGGTAAAGTTACACATTTTTTAACATATTAACATGCCCGTGCAACCCTTCCCAGGGATTCGCCTCCTCGGGCGCCCAAACGCTAGGTAAAGTGACACATTTTAGGCGCACCGCGCAACCCTTCTCAGGGATTCGCTGCCTCGGGCGTTCAAACGTGAGGTAAAGTTACACATTTTTCGCGCGCCGCGCAACCCTTCCCAGGGATTCGCCTCCTCGGGCGGTCAAACGCGAGGTAAAGTTACACATTTTTCGCGCGCCGCGCAACCCTTCACAGGGATTCGCCTCCTCGGGCGTTCAAACGCGAGGTAAAGTTACACATTTTTCGCGCGCCGCGCAACCCTTCACAGGGATTCGCCTCTTCAGGCGTTCAAGCGCGAGGTGAAGTTACACATTTTTTTAACTTAATAGGTGTGTCGCGCAACCCTTCACAGGGATTGGCATGGTCTAGCGCCCAAACGCGAGGTAAAATTACTTCTTTTGATGCGCTTCGAGGCGCAATTTGCAACCCTTCACAGGGATTGGCGTGGTCGAGTGCACGAACTTGCAACCCTTCACAGGGATTGGCATGATCGAGTGCGCGAACGCGAGGTAAAGTTGCTACTTTGAAGCGCTTTTAGGTGCATTGAGGTGCAATTTGCAACCCTTCACGGGGATTGGCATTTTGCAACCCTTCACAGGGATTGGCATGATCGAATGCACGAACGCTAGGTAAAGTTGCTACTTTTGATGTGCATTGAGATGAATTTTGCAACCCTTCACAGGGATTGGCGTGGTCGAACGCACGAACGCGAGGTAAAGTTATTACTTTTCATGTGCATTGAGGTGAAATTTGCAACCCTTCACAGAGATTGGCGTTGTCGAGTGTTCGAACGCGAGGTAAAGTTAACACTTTTGCTGCGCAAGTAGTAACAGTAGTAATAGTAGTAATAGTAGTAATAGCAGTACTAGTAGATGGTAGTAATAATAATAGTAATAGTAGGAGTACATACTACCATGGCGTTGCCGCCACAGCAGCTGAATGGTCTGCGAGAGGGTTTGGCGAGCACGGTGAAACCTGGCTCCGTGCGGAGCTTCGGGAACTAACTACTTGGCAGTTGTGTGGGTTTGCTGCCGCTGCAGGCGTGCCGCAGCGCTCGTCCTAGCGCACTCTGTCCAAGCTGGAATTGGTATAAGCTCTATTATAGTGCATTGTCGAGGAGGCGGCTTCATGGGGAATCGATGTCGTTGATCATTGTCTGTGTCAAATTGTGGTTAGATGTTTCGTGCTTTCACGTGAAGTCTTTGCTGTCAGGTCGATGCATGTTGCTGCGTCGGAGCCAAAGCTGCAGGAGCTGCGAAAGGGCTGTGCCGAGCACGGCGAAGCCTGGCTCCGCGACGAGCTCGGGAAGCGGACTCGCGATCAGCCGTGTGGTCGTGCCGCAGCGCTCGTCCTGGCGCGCTGTCCAAGCTGGAATTGGTATAAGCTCTATCATAGTGCATTGTCGAAGAGGAGGCTTCATGGGGAATCGATGTCGTTGATCATTGTCTGCGTCAATTTGTCTCGCAGTGAGGCGTCAGTGTCGTGGCCAGGTTAGATGTTGCGTGCTTTCACGTGAAGTCTTTGCTGTCAGGTCGATGCTGTTGCTGCGTCGGAGCAAAAGTTGCAGGAGCTGCGAGAGGGCTGTGCCGAGCACGGCGAAGCCTGGCTCCGCGACGAGCTCGGGAAGCGGACTCGCGATCAGTTGCGTGGGCTCGCTGTCGCTGCGGATGCGCAGCAGAATATCGCGGCGCATTGCCGAGCAGGACGCTTCAAGGGGAATCGCTGTCGTTGATCACTGCCTGCGTGAGTCAGTTTGCATTGCAATGAGGCGTCGCCGGTGCCTGCTCGATGACTTATTCAGGCTCGGAATCTCTACGTCGATTATAGAGGCTTTCTCATTGCACATGTATGACCCGCATGCTTTGCTCGAAAGGAGAAATATCTTGCAGCATCTTACCATACTGAGGACTGTTCTTTACCTGCCTCGCTCTGCTCGAAAGGGAAAATACGTTGCAGCATGTCACCATACTTAGGACGGTTCTTTGCCTGACTAGACACTGTCTTGCGAAAGGGCCGGCCTGCGAGAGGGCTCGTCCTGGCGCACTCTATCCAAGCTGGAATTGGTATAAGCTCTATCACAGTGCATTGTCGAGGAGGAGGCCTCATGGGGAATCGATGTCGTTGATCATTGTCTGTGTCAATTTGTAATATAGTGAAGCGTTAGTATCGTGGCCAGGTTAGATGTTTCGTGCTTTCACGTGAAGTCTTTGCTGTCAGGTCGATGCATGTTGCTGCGTCGGAGCAAAAGCTGCAGGAGCTGTAAGAGGGCTGTGCCGAGCACGGCGAAGCCTGGCTCCGCGACGAGCTCGGGAAGCGGACTCGCGATCAGCCGTGTGGTCGTGCCGCAGCGCTCGTCCTGGCGCGCTGTCCAAGCTGGAATTGGTATAAGCTCTATCATAGTGCATTGTCGAAGAGGAGGCTTCATGGGGAATCGATGTCGTTGATCATTGTCTGCGTCAATTTGTCTCGCAGTGAGGCGTCAGTGTCGTGGCCAGGTTAGATGTTGCGTGCTTTCACGTGAAGTCTTTGCTGTCAGGTCGATGCTGTTGCTGCGTCGGAGCAAAAGTTGCAGGAGCTGCGAGAGGGCTGTGCCGAGCACGGCGAAGCCTGGCTCCGCGACGAGCTCGGGAAGCGGACTCGCGATCAGTTGCGTGGGCTCGCTGTCGCTGCGGATGCGCAGCAGAATATCGCGGCGCATTGCCGAGCAGGACGCTTCAAGGGGAATCGCTGTCGTTGATCACTGCCTGCGTGAGTCAGTTTGCATTGCAATGAGGCGTCGCCGGTGCCTGCTCGATGACTTATTCAGGCTCGGAATCTCTACGTCGATTATAGAGGCTTTCTCATTGCACATGTATGACCCCCGCATGCTTTGCTCGAAAGGAGAAATATCTTGCAGCATCTTACCATACTGAGGACTGTTCTTTACCTGCCTCGCTCTGCTCGAAAGGGAAAATACGTTGCAGCATGTCACCATACTTAGGACGGTTCTTTGCCTGACTAGACACTGTCTTGCGAAAGGGCCGGCCTGCGAGAGGGCTCGTCCTGGCGCACTCTATCCAAGCTGGAATTGGTATAAGCTCTATCACAGTGCATTGTCGAGGAGGAGGCCTCATGGGGAATCGATGTCGTTGATCATTGTCTGTGTCAATTTGTAATATAGTGAAGCGTTAGTATCGTGGCCAGGTTAGATGTTTCGTGCTTTCACGTGAAGTCTTTGCTGTCAGGTCGATGCTGTTGCTGCGTCGGAGCAAAAGCTGCAGGAGCTGTAAGAGGGCTGTGCCGAGCACGGCGAAGCCTGGCTCCGCGACGAGCTCGGGAAACGGACTCGCGATCAGCCGTGTGGGCTCGCTGTCGCTGGCGGATGCGCAGCAGAAGTCAGCCGTGCGCAAATTTTCCAAAGCGGAGTTGTTGGAAGCTCTATCGCGGCGCGTTGCCGAGCAGGACGCTTCATGGGGAATCGCCGCCGTTGGTCACTGCCTGCGTGAGTCAGTTTGTATTGCAATGAGGCGTCGCCGGTGCCTGCTCGATGACTTATTCAGGCTCGGAATCTCTACGTCGATTGCAGAGGCTTTCTCATTGCACATGTATGACCCGCATGCTTTGCTCGAAGGGATGAACATGTTGCAGCATCATACTGAAGACTCTTCTTTACCTGCCTCGATCGAATCTCTACCGTCTTCCCTGCTGGATCAGCTCCAACCAAGGATACCGCAGCACTCTAATACGATCACCGACCACCGGACCTGCACTGAAACAACTTGACACCATGACTCTAGATACTTATTCACCTGACTTATGCACTTGACTCTATGCACTTCGCCGTATGCAGTTACTTAACTTAAGTTTATACACTGCTTCGACAGCTTTGACAACATCGACTGACGAACGCAAAGTGAAACATGTAGAGTCAAGTTCATAGTTTCAAAATATCGATCTCGGCATTGCCATATACTTCATAATTAGATGCACTTCGCGCTATGACGCTATAACTCTATGCACTGGATTCTATAACGTGGCGCTAAACTCTTCGCTAATGATGCTTTCGGGCCAATTGTCTTCTAGTTTGAATTTGCTGGGCTGGGCTGGCTTGGGCTGGGCTGGGCCTGGGCCGGGCTGGGTGGGGGCGCTGCTTGGGCTGGGCTGGCTGGTGGGCTTGGGCCTGGGGCCCGGGGCTGGGAGCTGGGCTGGGTTGCCTGGGTTGAAGGGTGTAGAGAAATTGGTTTGTCAAGCAGCTTGTTCCGTTTTTGAGCTCCAGCTACAAGTTCGTAGAGAAATTGGTTTATCAAGAAGCGTGTTCCGTTTTTGAGCTCCAGCTCAATGTTGGCCGGGCCGTACCGGCGGTTACAAGTTTGTAAAGAAATTGGCTTATCAAGAAGCTTGTTCAGTCATTAACCTGTGTGTTGGGCCGTAGCGGTGGTTGCAAACAAGGACAAGCAATTTCTATTTATCACTTTCTTGAGGGTTTAGGGTTTGGGGTTTAGGGTTTAGGGCTTAAAGGCTTTATGTAGGGATGTCTTCTTTCCGGAAATGGCCTCCAGCCGAAGACATGCCGCGCGCGCCTCCTCTCCAAAGCAGGCATGTGAGCCCACAAAACACCCGAAAAAGAAACGACGCTTTGCAACGTGTTGCGTCGGCCGACATTAAACTGCTGCCTCAACCCTAAACCCTAAACGCAAAAGATAAAGCGCTCGCCTCTGGGGTGGGAGCGATAGCTTGAAGCCTCAAGAGCTAATCGTTCTCGTCCGTGAGATCTGGGTTCAAGGTTGTAGGGTTTTAGGGTCTCTAGACCCTAAGCCGTAAGACCCAAACCCGAAACCCGAATAGAGTTAAGGGTTTAAGGTGTAACTGCCACTTAGAGTCGCGAGTTTAGGGATATCCAGGGGCTAGGGCTTAGGGTTTGGGGTTTAGGGTTTAGGGGCCTTGCAAAACGTGGTTTCAGAAGGTCTCGCCTCGAACAGCTCCTGACGAAAGCATCTAGCCCGACACCCCTGAACCCCGAAGCCCTGCAGCCTCAACCCTAAACCCAACCGCATACCCTAAACCCTAAACCCTAAATCCGAAATCCTAAATCCCAAACCCCAGACCCTAACTTCACCCCGAAAGAAAAAGACAACTGAACCCTACAACCTCTGTTGCCCAAGGCCAGAAAAGTTCCGAAAGTCCTGTCGCGGTTGAGGTGCTTGACCTTTGGATTTAGGGTTTAGGGCTTAGGGTCCAGGGTATGAGGTTGGGTTTAGGGTTTAGGGTTTAGGGTTTAGGGGTTCGAAGAGCTGTTGACCCTTTGAACTAACATCAAGGCTAAGGGTTTAGGGTTTAGGGTTTAGCGCTTAGGGCTTAGGGTTTAGGGTTTAGCGCTTGGGGTTTAGGGTATCTCTCAACCCCAAAACTATGGGATTCAGGGCCTTTCTTCTTGTGTATCTTCCTGCCCCACTCATAGCGCCGCAATTGCCCCAAACCCTAAACCCTAAGCTCTAAACCCTAGCCCTAAGCCCTAAACCCCTGAACCCTAAACATTGCGTGGCTGCTGGCCACCACGGCTGCTGCTGCTGCTGCTGTTGTCAACTGCTTCTAAATTCTGACGAATTATCCCAACCCCAAACTCAACCTCAAACCTAACCACCCTAAACCCTAAACCCTAAACCCAAGAATCCATACAGCTCAACAAGCCTAAACAGAGCGGAAGCTCTGAACCGTTAGCCCTAAACCCAAGACCCTCAACCCTTAACCAAAAGCTTAACATCTAAACCCTATGAAAATCCTGAACCCTCAACCCTAAAGCCTAGACGCTGAATCCTAAACCGAAGAGCCCAAAACCGTAAACTCCCGAAGAAGGCTGACTTGGCAGAAGCAGGACGAGGTGCGGCGCGCGACATTAGTCGCTCCAACCTCTCCAGGCGGCATTCCTTGGCGGTGGCAGGCTTGGCCTTCGACTTTTGAGTTTGCAGTTTGGGGTTTAGGGTTTAGGGCTCAGTGTTGAAGATTCAATAGTCAGGGTCTAGTTGCTCTGATTGGTTTAGGCTGTGGGAGCTGAGAGCTCAGGGTCTAGGGTCTAGGGTTTAGGGTTTAGGGTGAAGGGTTTCGAAGCTTGCCCTGCAGGGGTCGGAGGAACTGGCCGAGATTCCCGGGCGACGGCTCCCTCGCGTCCTGGAAAAGCCCCAAATGTGGGTTTAGGATTTAGGCTCTTCTGATTCAAGTCGCGATCTGAGGTTCGTTTTTGGGGCTGCTTCATTGCAATTTCATTTAGCTTAGGGAACCCCGAAACCCTCTTAACCCTAAGCCAAATCCTGAAATCTCATTATATCTCAAAGCTTGAGCCCTACAGTAGGGCCTCTTAGGAAGCGCCTCAAGTATGTCATGTCCTGTAGGCAGCTGGACTACAGATGCAGCAAGCTGCTGCGTCCAATCGCCATGCTTGCGTGTTGAGGTTAGGGTTTAGGGTAGGTTTGGGTTTAGGGTTTAGGGTTTAGGGTCTAGGCCTGGCCAACAGCAAGCATAGACCCTAAACCGAATCACGCCTGCCCCCTCTCTGCTAATTTAACGAAAATGCACAATTGCACTCCTAGAATCTACACTCCTGCAACTCAAGAGCCTCCCCAACCCAACCCCCAAATTCCAAACCAAACCCCAAAACCGAACCTCAAACCCTGAACCCAAGGCCCTACACCCCTAACACTATGTACCCTCAACCCCTACACGCTAAACGCTAAGCCGAAAAAACACCCTGAACCCTAC